TTTGACATTCTGCTTATGTGCTTTTGTTTTTACCCAAGATTTCTCTCTGTCTTTCCATTGTTTTTCATTTGTTTCTCCTGTAATATCCATCCTGTACAAGAAATCTGTCTCACTCCTGCTGCATCATTATTTTCCTCTCCATGTAATTATGAATCCATTTATTTACATGTTCCTTTTTTTGTGTTGCTTGATTGTCTTTGCTTTTTTCATTTTTCTTCCTTTCTTTTTTATTGGTACTAATCTTGTCTCTTGGGTTGAAAGTCTTGCCAGATTTGGTAGTGAATGCCACAGTTCCTGCAATCAGATGCTTAAATCAATCACAGAGTATCCCAGGTTGAAAGGGATCCATGTGGATTGTCAATTCCAACCCTCAGCTCCACACAGCACCGCCCAAACACCTACCTTATGTCTGAGAGCATTGCCCAAATGAGTCTGATGTTTTTCTCTAATGGAGTTTCTTCTTCTCTTAAGGGCAGGGAAAGGCCTACTATTACCGTAGGTACAGTGCCTCTTGAAGACTTGAAAGTCAGAAAGCAAATACAAATTAAACTTACTGAATGGGCAGTGCCTCTCTTTCCTGAGGGCACCCTGAGGTCAATTGTTGTGGAAGACGTAGGTTTGGATTGTAGGTAAAGAAGCACAGGAGTAGGCTGTGGAATCTAAATAGAATATTACTGTTAACACAAAATCACTTTCAGGCTTGTTACTATAGCATGCATCAGCTACACAGTTGTTGGAACATCAGTGCTGACAATCTTGATTCTGAAAGCAAGCAGCGCTTTCAGATCCATCAAGAGGATCTGGGGATGTTGAAGGCAGGCCAGGAAGGTGCTCTGAGGCTCTTATGCTGCTCGTAGTGGAAACAGGCAGCCCAGTGGCTGTGGTGTCAAATCACAAACATCGACTCAGTAGTTTAGGATTTCTTTGGACGTGGAGTGCAGATTGTTTTGTACATCCTGCATGTGTAGCCTGTATCAGTCCATTTCGACATGCCAGATCATCTACTTCAGCTTTAAAATGATGTCTTCAATGCAGGCTCCTTAGTATTGGCAGCAGTACATGATATGCTTGCTGTTTTGTTTTTAAATCTGTGGAGATCCTTAACTGTGATTTGCTCATCCTTGAAAGCCAGGGCGATTACACTTGAGTGAAGCACGGGCTATTGATAAATTGTGTGCAGTCTTTTTTTAAACAGCATTCTGAGACATCATGTGAAAGTAATTATTTTTCCATGTCTAAATGGCAGCCTGAAGCTTCTGCCTTGAGGGATGAGTCAGAGTACCTTAGTGCTTGATGGAAGCTTGGCCCAACTCCACTTGCTGGGACTTGGAAATATGAATAATTTTCAAACAGGAATTCTGAGAAATGATAAATATTGCTCAGGGGTTTGTTGTTGTGTTGTTGTTGTTGTTATTATTTCATGATACATATGGGGCTCTTTGAAAACTGTTTTCAGACATACAAGAAACCTTCTATTTAAGCCTCTCTGCTTCTTGCAAAAAATGAGCAGTTTTTGCTTTTCACCAGTTTATGAGCGAAAGATCATGTGATTTCCCAAACTGTAGCCTGTTTGTAAGCTAAAGTTAACTTGATGGTTTAAATTATGCTGTTTGCTAGTAATGAATGCATTAGGGTTAGGTTTCTCTACTACTGGAAAGCTGTCATGGAAAAATGCTATTGAGATGCATATATTTTGGTGTTGAGAATGGTGAAATTGCTGCACATCTTAGAAGCTAGCTGAATGGCTGTACAGGGTGGAGAAGGATGGATGTAGGTAAAGAAGCAACAGCTGAAATGACTTTGTAAACCTTCCCTTAGTTACTGGATAAACACGTAAGGCTGCTTGCAGACAGGGACTGCAAACAGAGACAGTTTTATGACTTATAGGGATGTATTTTTATTCCTCCCAGTGCAAATTAGGAAAGTGTGACCCTTAGGCTATGTTTAGAAGTTCCTGTTTTTTTCAGTAATCTCAGCTGAAAAGAAGAAATTTCTGATCCTGGCTATTAGGAGTAAATTGGCTTGCATGGACCACACAAAAGCAAATTCATGTCAGTCTTGATAGATTCAAGTCAGTGTGTGTTTATTGGGCGAGCACTGTTAGTATCTGGGTCTTCAGTAACTTGGGACATTTCCAGAGGAGTGTGCCCGTAAGTCACTGCAAACAGGGTGGGGAAATCTGCTCAGTTTATAGCTGGAATCAGGGCTCAGAGGGGTAGGGAAGGGAGTAAGGAGGTAAGTCCATGATATTAAAATGGTGTACGTCAATCAGTAGTTTGCACCTGTCTCAAATACTGTCTGTAGTACATTTGAGCTGTTGTGAGACTTACTTGTTTCTCCCCCTTCCCTACCTGGAATATGGAATCCCATGTTAAAAAAACAATCTTGCCGTTTTTAAGCGCTGGTAGAAACATAACTCTTTGGTGGTGTTACCCAGTTTGCACGTAATGAGAGTGAAAAATTCAGCTTAATATGTTCTCTACATTAGTTACAGTTAATAATAAATATTGGCTCTGAATGCAGTAGTTAATTACAGAATCACAGAATCGTGGGGGTTGGAAGGGACCTCCAGAGATCATCGAGTCCAACCCCCCTGCCAAAGCAGGCTCCCTACACCAGGTCGCACAGGTAGGCGTCCAGGCAGGTCTTGAATATCTCCAGAGAAGGAGACTCCACCACCTCCCTGGGCAGCCTGTTCCAGTGCTCCGTCACCCTCACCGTAAAGAAGTTCTTGCGCACATTGGTGCGGAACTTCCTATGCTTCAGTTTTCAGCCATTTCCCCTTGTCCTGTCTCCACATACCGCTGAAAACAGTCTGGCCTCGCCACTCTACCCCCAAACCTTAGATATTTACAGACCTGGATCAGGTCTCCTCTCAGCCTTCTCTTCTCAAGGCTAAACAGACCTAGCTCAATTTTGATAGCAAATCAAATTATAGGAAATAAGGCAAGTTTCTGAAGCTCGGGTGTGTTCATAAAAGTTTATCAAAGATTTATCAAAGGTGCTGTGAGATGAATTTCTTGCTATTCCTTTGTAAATGCAATTTTTACACTGTTTCTTTTGGTCTGGGCTGATGAATTTGCTTTGTACTTCAGGATTTGGTTAAGACTTCAGTTCAAAGGCTCTTTTAGGACCTCAGAATGGCTTTGAAGTGTAGCGATGGGTGCTTTGTGCCTGTGCTACTGAGAGGATCTGGTGGTGTTTGACTCCTCTTCTACCAGGCTACAGGAGATGCAACTTGAAATAGTTTATTGGTGGTTACACGTTCTAGAGGACTGCTATGCCATTGCATGGTTAGAGTTTTAAAATTGCTATCTTTTCCCCCTGTTTGGACTACATTTCTGAGAATTGCTCTTGTATTGCCTTGTATGGTGGATTCATGTTGTTTTGGTCAGTGGTCTTTCAGATTTCACAGAATTAGCCCCCAGTATTCATAACTCTGCTAGTAGTCGTGGGATACTAAAAAGTTTAGTGAATTTCCTCCAATTATAATTTAAAATAATAACACAAGTCTTACCATTTTGAAAGCCAAAATGGTTCTTCTATGGATCTTGACATGAACGAACCAGAATCGCCAGTCCTTTTGAGAAGAGGATGCAAAACGCATTTAAAAGCCGCCCTTTTAAGTCACTTTGTTGTGCTTCATTATGAAGAGTGTTCAGTGTTCAGCTTACGCTGGCGAGAGTTCAAAACGAAGGCAAACAGCTTTCCCTCCACATGTTAGGTGTTCCCTATTCATTCAAGACGTGTTTAACCTTTAGTTTCAAAGGCAAGGTGACTAGTGCAATATGAAAAATTAATCTGTTTCTATGTGGGTGACTTCCCTAGCGCTGTCAGTTTTGCATGCCATTCAGATTTTGTTTATTAAGCCAGCGTGATCGTTCCTCAGTGCTAACATTATGCTAACCACTTGCTTGAGCTTCCTGAGCTCACCAGGCAATCTGATAAAAGCAACATTCCTAGTCAGGGCTACTAATTGCAGGCACTTCTTGGCCACTCCATTCAGGCCTTTGGTTCCCTGGGCGTGCTCAGCAGCCATCACCCAGAGCAGACACTTCTGGCCAACACGTGCAGGCCTGAGTTCTGAACAGGTGGGGATGCAGAATCATGTCACATGCTCCCAGGCTGAAAGCTGTCAGGCCCAGCACTGCAGATGTAGCAGTGCAAATGCAACACTACCCCAGAAAAGACTAAAGAAGCGAAATTAAATGTCTGCGTGTTTTGAAATTAAAGTTTTGGGTAGTTCCCCTTTGAAATGGAGATACTTCTGTGAAATATTTTCTTGATTATTGTTTTCCAGCAGAAGATCATCCTGCTGGAATTATTTTGCACTGCTCTGGGAATGAATTATTAATATGAAATGGTAATCTTGCTGCTGAAATGGTACTTGATGCAAAATTTCTGTCCTATTTTTTATAATCTGTCAAGCCACTCGCACTTTTATACCAAAGCATTTTGACTTTGAGAAAATTGAGATTTTCAATCTGAAACAGTTGAGAAACTTAATTTTTTTGTATCATATACATTCAAAAGTGATGTTTTGGAGATGCAAAAATTGAGAAGGGGGACTTACAAAAATATTACAGTAATATTTCTACTTTAGTTTTCTTGAGGTTGGTGTTGTTGTTCAACTCTTTGATATCCTGTATCAATTCATTTGATACTATCAAATGAAACAGAGACTTTTTCCTTGGTGCAAATTAATTATATTTTTTTTCTCTTGAAATAATTATTTGTGTCTACTTAATTGAAGCCAACATGTTTGCATGTTCCCTTCATGGCTGAGCATCATTCATACAATTTAAATAATGAAGCCAAACATTAAAGACAGATCATAAAAGGGAGAGTTATGATCAAACAAAGAGTGCAGGATCTTTTTGTTGTTAACTCTGTGATGCATGTGTAATGCCAATATTACTGAAATGTGTGATAGAAGCAAGGCAGAGAACCATGCTTTTTGCCCATTGACTTAATCTGAAAACTTTTTTTTTTTCTTACAGATAAATCGGAGCATTTACACTGCACAGAAATGGAGGTAAGAAAAGTATTTGTGTTCTCTGACGGTGCTAACTTAGCTCAGAGCTTTTTCATTATCATATGGTGTAAATGTGGAATGTTTTCAATGGGAAGTCTTACTGTGAAATGTGTATAGTACTTATTACTTATTAACAAGTGCATAAATGTGTCTTAACATGAGACACTGGGTCTCGTGCTAAGATACAGAGGAAATAAAGTCCATGCAGTTTTCAATAAGCAGGGCTGGAGATACGATATAAACTTATTTGTTGTCATTTCTTCTAAGTATGAATCCTAGCAGAATATTTTGTTTTAGATAATTTCTCTTGGATAAATTCTCATGATGTAGTTACTTTAGAAACAACTGGTAGATTGTGGAATAAATACTAAGTGTTTACAGAATAGGTTGATGTTATTTGACAACCCAAGAACTTGGATAGAAGCAGAGAAGACAAGTGATCTCCAGATTGTTTGTCCGCTTAAAGCTGTGATTTCCTGTGCTTTTAATATTTCTTTTCATTTAGAATTGGCAATAAAGGGCCTAAGAAATACTGTATGATGTCTTGCTGGGCTAGCAATAGAAAGACAAAACCAGTTAAAACTGTTTGCTTTGTATCTTGACCATGAATTGACACTGTATCTTTGTTACCAAGCTGTGATGAGGGTTAAAAGAATGCTCAAGCTATCATTATGTCAGATTCATAGATTTAATCCAAAGCTTGAATGAAAACTAAGCAGACCTTCTAGTTGAACAGGATGTCAACTCATAGTTGTTTATTGTGATACAGAGTAAGTCATATAATCTACTCCTTAAATGAACTTTTCCAGCAGTAAGCACAACTATCTGTATCCTTTGCAGGGCAGTCTGTTCTCATCGCCTTTGAACTTTCTTTCAAGTGTAAAACTGAGTTTTTACTTCAGCTGCTCAATCAGTACCTCAGGCTTAGCCTGGAGATAGCGTCAGTGCAGGCATCCTAATTGGTGGGCTGTCTGTTTTCTCATCAATAATATATGTGAAGGTGACAAATGGCTGTTGCCATAAGGTTTATATTTAGATAAAACTGTGTATGGAAATGGCTGGTTTAAAAGTAAAATGAAAAGCCAGCTAATTCATGGGAAGGTTCTTTCTGCAGGACACAGGGTAAGGAGTAATTCCTGACAGAAACAAGTACAGACATTGAAAGTCAACATGTTTCTGTTTATATAGTTCAAATTAAGCAAATGCATTCTGTTCTTATTCCAGAATTTGCAGAAGCTTGGTTCATGAGTCTAGTACCTCACTTAGAAATGATGATCTATTGTGTCACTTGCTTTGCATACTAAATACTGTTTACAATTTTGCTTTGTGTTTTTTAACAGAAGATAATGGAAGATCCTAATGGTAAAAATGGAGGTGATGATAATAAGCCTCTGTTGAAATATTTGTAAGGGAACATTAAAAAAAAAAAAATCCATTTTGGGAAAATAAAAATGCTTTTGTTTCAAAAGAGATTGTTGAGACTCAGTTGGATATAATCTAGTTCATTATCTTCAGTGGAGAAAGAGCTTTCGAATTTTAGTATTTTTTAAAAATTACTTTTGACAATGGTTAGAAAGGAAAAACTTCAGCGAGTCAGAATTTGCCTTGGGACAAATACACCACTTTAAATTGTCTCTAATAATCACTTTGACCATGATCATATTGACTCTTCTGTTTGTCAGTTTGAAGGAGACAGCGAAGGAGTCAATGGCTCCTTCCTCCTCCAAAGTCCCCGAGGGGCTGCAGCTTTAGACTTGGTCAGGATGATGTTGGTGTTTTTCAGAACCAGGAATTCAGCAGAGAGAGCATATTGCACTTTTTAGATTCCTGTGGTCTAATTGAATGTATTAGAGTTTGTGGAAAACTTCTTAAAAAAATGTAGCTAATAATAATCACAACTGTTTTTTTGCAGAACATGTAAACTATCCTGAATCGTTACTCCATTTATTTCCAGCTATGTGTGAAATTCAGGGTCCAGTTGCCATAGCCGTAGTGGGAAGTAAGGAATCAGGTGACCTTATTTAATGTGCGTCTGCCTGTGACTCTGTATGTGATGATAGCTCTGCTTTGTTGTCTCAACCAAGGTGGTGAAGATTATATAAAATATGCCAGCCTCATTTGTAAACATGCAGTGCTCATATAGAAAGCATTCTGTGAATGTGAGTGACTCATATGTAGGAGAGGTTAATTGCCAGGTATTGGAGAAGACCCACCTAATATCATAGGCTTGTTGTGTGAATTAAGTGGTGTGTATGCTGGTATAAAAATACACGCAAACTCTCTCATTTGTTTAAAAGTCAGGAATTAATGAAATAACCTGTCCCAAACAATGGTGAATAAATTACTTGTTCAACATCATCCAGTTCATGTCAAATCACAGAGTGAATCAATTGTTGCAATGTTTTGAGGAGCCTTTTGTGTGCTGTGTCTGCAAGCTATTGGTTATATGTATTTCATATAATTATTACAGTCTTAACGTGCATTGAAAATTATGGTTATTTCAATACAAATAAATACTTGTTATTTATTGTGTTGAGTCAAACAGAAGATCAGCCACCTCTCTCATGCTAATGGAGATGAGATCTTGCACTTAATAGCACAAAGTGGTAGGATTTGAAAAGCTGTGTAATAATTTTGTATTAAAAACAATGCCATGCCTACATTCAAGTGTGTTATATGCTCAAAATTCAACCAGTATTAAATGGGTTTATTTACTGTACACAAATAGCTAGGATTTTTTTTTTAATCTCTGGATGTACAGTAGAGTTGCATCCTGATGGAGGGGCAGTTGCAGCAGTGAAGAATCACTGGTACATGCAGTGGTGGTGATTAGTTCTACTTCCTAAGCTCTGTCCTTATGGTGACAAAGGAAATGTCATTGTGAGGACAGGCAGAAATGTTTTTATGAGAGTAATTTCCCTTAGTAAAAATGTGACTGACTGTTGTTGGCAAAACTCCCTGTGAATGATTGGGTACAAGTCTGGTAATTCCACGAAAGCTGGTGGATTATTGTGCTGTTAAGAGGAGAATTAACAGGGATCCAGGGTGGCCTCTTGGAAATCAAAGCAGAGTCATGCATCTTTTCTGGAGGGCATTAAGCTGTGCTGGAACATTAGGTGCTGGTGGTCATGAGTGAAGTGCTCATCACCTGTTAATGGCATTACCTCAGGAGGTGCTGTATGTCCAGCCTGTGAGGGACCTGGTGCTTTAGATACCTGAGAGCCCATTATGATGTTCCTTGATGTGGCTGTTCTGCGGCAGGCACTCATCTGTCCCCATGATTTGCCTGAATCGCTTCAATAGTCACAACAAAACAAGAGACACTTGATTATATAGAAAATACAAGCACAAAGGTAGAATTTAGATTTTGGTCTTCTGTGTTTTGTAATGAGCTGCTTTTTCAAGAGGAGCTCAGTCTTCTGTGACTCATATAAACATCAGGAGAGGGTTGATCTTGAAGGAAAGTGGATTTCTGTTGTTTACTTGCTTTAAGCTTGGCACATCGCCCTTTTCATTCAACGATTTCATTAAGAATACACAGTGAATTATTGGGCTGGAGAACTAATAATGTATTTGACTAAGCTGATTTAGAGATAGACCAATCCTGCCATCTGTCCAGGGTCCCTGTAAGAGAAATCAAGTGCTCTTTGTAAAGGCTTTTTGATTTTGCAGCATGATATGATGTGCCTTTAATAATCTTGCACCCCAAAGTCTCATGGGATTTGTGATGAAACCTTTCTATCAGCTGGGTGAGAGCAGAGAGACAAAAATTCAGCCCTAGTTTGCTGACAGAAGTTCAGGTAATGGCTGGAGGAAAAATAGGTCTCGCAGTGAATTTGATCCCTCTGAGAGAAGTTTTGCCTGTGAAAAGCAGAAATAGCTGAACATGGAGCAGTAAGTTAGGTGTTACGGTGTTTCTGTTAAATCTCAAATCACAAAAACGTTCCTTCTGTAGTTAATACGTGAAGCCATTCACATTACCCAGTTGTATCGCAAATTGAAATATGGGAATGAAAGCTCACCAATTTAGTTTATGTTACTCAGAAAGGGATCTCAGTGTGGGGAGAATAAGGTTATTTGTACTGGTCCTCAGTTTCTGCAAAACCCTTTTTCTTTCAGCTCTATTGTTCTACCATTTGATATCTATCATACTAATGATATGCTGTCATATCTATAGTTGCTGCCATGTATATTGATTGATGTGATAGCTATCATGTTAATCAGCTATCAAGGTGCTATTCTTTAGTGCCAGTGGACATGTTTGCCTCCTCGTACAGACCAAAAGAATAATGTGATTACTTGGTCAAGCTGCAGGAAAAGCTTAAGCTTTAGGTGTTGGTTGTGTGCCTGCAATTGAGTAGTCTCTTGCATTGTCCTTTTGTTTTGCGTATAATAAAACTTCAGTATATCATTGTGAAATTAAAAATGCAAATTTTCAGAAATTTCATTTTTGTTTGTTAGTACAAAAAAAAATAAAAAAAATTAAGCAACAAAAATTCTGACTACGTTCCTTGTCAACTAAATCCTTCAGAGGCTTCTGAGATAATATGGTGCTAATTTCTAAGAGTGTGCTAGTTATGAGTTTTCTGATAGAGAAGCTGTGTTTTCAGAATGTGTCAATTCTGATATATATTAGGTTGATGAAGCAAGCAAGTTGTGCTGGCTGCAGATATGGCAGTACCGCAGTTTTAAAGACGGTTAATATACTACATGTTCTGCCACTGGTTACTATAGAAAAGAAAAAATGATTGGTCCTAACACATAGATTTCAGAGCACTGGGGCAAGGTCCAAATAAAATATTTAATAATACAAAAGTAATCCTAACAAAGGGTGAAATTTCTGAGCTTGAATAGAAGCCAAATAATAATTCTAAGTGTAATTTAATGGAGGCTGCTCTTATCCTTTCTTTCCTGTATGGATTTGGCCTAAGGCAATTCTGAAACTAAATAAAATACATCTCTGCAGTTCAGTAGGTTCAGCAGTAAGCTTGACCTATTGG